AATTTATTGAACCTATATAGCGCTTTTCTAGACACCCAAAGATGCTTTCACATACTCTCACATTCACACACTGCTAGTGATGGTAAGCTACTTGTAGCCACAGCCGCCCTGGGGAGGTCTGACAGAGGCGAGGCTGCCATTTGGCGCCGTCGGCCCCTCTGACCACCACTAACACAGGCAAATTAGGTGAAGTGTCTTGCCCAGGGACACAACAGCAGGATACCCCTGGCGGGAGCTGGAATCGTACCCATGACCCTCCGATCATGAGGCAACCCGCTCTACCACCTGAGCTACTGCTGCCCCAAAATAGTGTGTAGACACTAACCAAGGCTGGGGAGACATTTCAGCTGCTAGATTAAGGTGTTAAAAATAGGAGCAAACAGCAATCTACTAACAGACATCAGGGGATGCTAAAAGCAAGCCAAAACTTGCCTTGTTCCCCTTTAAATATCAGGATGAACTCCTTAGGGCTGCAACAAACGATTATTTGGATCATCTATGAATCGGATGGGGTCTCGACTCTATTAATCAAATAATCGGATTAAACTGTTTGTTTCTCCACAAACTTAAATGGAAGTGTTGGTAACAAGTGTTTTTTTACAATATTTCCATATATTATTCCAAAATTATTTACAGAATTTCACACTGAAGTTTCTGAAATCCTTGAATTCATATTTTAAATAAACTATGATTTTTTATTATTGTTACTTTTCATGTTACTTTTCATGTTATTGAGATAAAACTAGATTAAAAAATCACTTCAACATGTACAAATTTTTTTAATAACATTTTAGTTGAAATAGTTGACTCAAATGGGGGAAAGGGGAGGATTTGCATCAGAATTACATGTGGTTCATCTGTGTTGAACTTGAGCAGATTTGTTTTCTAAGAAGTTAAAATTGACCAAAAACAATTACTAAAGCAAATTTTAGTCTATTTATTAGATTTTTTAATTTATATAAAGGGTAATGGATGAAGCAATGTATATATCATTTCTTGCTGTTAGTCATGTTTTATTTTAAATTTATAAAAATTTTATTTCATTATTATATTGCATCTTTTTTAAAGAACCACACCTGGAGCCTCATTTATCAAGCTTGCTTATGCACAAAACGGGTTCGGAAAACTGCGTAAGCAACTTTCCACGCAAACTTTGGGATTTATGAAAGAAAACTTAGCAGAAAAATGTGCGCAACTTTAAGTTGACCTTGCTTACGCGCATTTTGGACATGGAGAGCACCTCCAGTGCTGCTGCTGAGAAGGATACAATTAAGAAATCCTGCAGCATTACCACTTGTACCGCTTCGTTTTCACACAGAACAAGACCCCCACACGCACACACACATGCACGCACACTCACTCACACACACACACACACACATACACACATACACACACACACACACAGCCTGAAGCACAGAATACGGAATGCAGATTATCTGCAGGGGGACAGATTGAGACAGAATGTCATGCGTCTGTGACAGTGTGTGTCCTGTCACTGTGACCCAATTGATCATGCACCCTGGCTACTTGTACAGGGGAGATCTCTGTTTGGAAGACTGGTTAGCGTGCGTGACTTTCACCTGGGAGTCTGGGGATCAAATCCTGACTGGACCATTTTTTTATACCCGCCACAGATCTCTCTGAAGAATTCACAACATTGACGGCTTCAGCAACGCAGTGCCATTCCGTGGATTTTCTCTTATTTGTTTTGCAAAAGCACTTCCTTTCATTTCTCCACCTCACCCACAAGTACCTCAATTTCTGCTTGTGAAATAGCGCTTCCTTGATCTGCCTTGATCTACGGTTGCGATGTCATTGGCGGAGCGCTGCAACAGCTCTGTATATGCATGAGATTCACAAGGCACTTTGCATTGACTAAGCAGTAAGTGGGCGTGGTGAGGGCGGGGATGTGGGGGATGGGCGGGATGTGACTAAAATGTGACTAAAATGCAGCTGAGAAACATTCTCGTTAGTCTCCGATTTATGAAGCGGAGATTGCGTGCAGCTGTGTGTACTCCATGTTTGATAGATCACAAACCTACTTGGCATAAGTAAATTTTTTTGCTGAGCTTAAGTACGGTTTTAGTAAGGATTCTACGCAATGTTTGATAAATGAGACCCCTGCTCTTTAAACAGATCATCAGTGTCTTTTAGTCAGCCAGAACATTGTTTTAGGTGCCTGTTGATTGCTTCTTAAATCCATTAAAAATATTGTTTTTGATTAGCTGTCATGTTTCCTACTTTATTCGGCTTCATTGAATCGTAAATTAGACTTTTGTTGCTGAGTAGTGAGACGAATTATGTAACCAGTTTCATTTAAACTTGATTTTTATCCATTTATGCTAAGATGCTATTGCAGGCTGTCTGGTGTGTGCAGGGTCCTCGGTCAACCCAATCTCTTTTTTTATGTTGTCAGAATGGAGACCTCTGTCAGCAACAGGAACAAAATATAGCATGACAGTCAAGAGGGTCAAAGAGCTAAGGGCAAAGAGAAAGCCATGGGGAGGAGGAGCAAATAGGGGGTGAGAGGATCTGTTGCCTAGCAACATCAGTAAAATTATGGGCTCAACAGTTGTAAGAGGAACACACTGAAGATGGTTTCATTGAGTTAAACAAACAAACTCATTACATATTCAATGTGTTTTTTTAATGTTATGTTTTATTGCTGGCTTGCCATGATTGTTTGAGCTTGCAACAGGCTTTGTTTGGACTGACTCAAAAATGCAGCTTCTGCATGTGTGTGAAGGGCAGAAAGGCAGACGAAGCTTCGGAAAGTACAGCGGCAGTTGTCCGGGATAAACAAAGCATCAACAGTCTTTTGCTTTTAGTTGTCATGTGACTTTGGGCAGGGAGACAACCAATGGTAATTACTCTTTTGGCTATAATTCTAACATGTTTATTAATGCACACTATTCCTTTAAAACAAATAAGTGATATTCCTTTATTCGACAAATATACAATGGCAATGAGTGTTATTTTGTCATCAACGATTTTGGTTGTTGAAATAATCATGACTAATCGATTAATCTCAGCAGCACGTATAAATCTTAAAGGTGTGGTTGACTAAAAACAATTTTTTTTGTTATTATTTATTACAATCGGTCACTCTTGAGTTTTTCATGCAGGCTGAACATGAAAACAGTCTCCTACACCTATCTCCTGCGTTAGCTTCCGATAGAAAATAGATGGTCAAACTCTAAGATTTGAAAATCTTTACATTCCTATGTCACACTGTGAATTTGCATTCATGGCCTCGCCCATCTCGGCTGGCGCCCGCCCACAAGAAGACCTTTTAATTATTATTTTTTGCAGCAAGGAAAGAGAGCAGAGAGTGTCGTGGTGATAGTGACTTCGCAACAAGGCTGAACGCGTTCTGTTAGCCAATCAGAAGCGAGGTGTGTGAATATCATTCATAATCATGAATGATCCTGCTGTTTTCAGCCCACATCTGCACCAGCAAACCTTTGCATCCCAGAACATGAGCATCATAGCTTTTTTAAATGACTCATAAGGCATTGGTTTACATTGGAGAATACTACAAATGTATTGAATAACTGAGTAAACCACACCTTTAAAAAAAGGACAGTATAGTTTGGAAGTTGAAGAGATCAATTCAGCACACTTTCTTGTCCAATAAACATGCTGCCACAAAATGCTTCACTTAGCTTTACACAAACACAGAAACCTGGTGACAAATCTACCAACTCCCCAATTACCATGCAGTGTCTTGTTTGTTTATGCCATCCAACAGCAGCCACAACAAAGTGACAAGTTGTGGCTGTGCACATATTTTAGAGACATTATGCAGACATGCCTTACTCCATGACTTGTCCATGCATAAACGTGGAGCAAAAAGCTAAATCTGGCCCTACATTTCTTTCTCTAAACTCCTGGTTCCTCAGGTGAGCTGTTGGTATATAACCTATGTTTAAATCAATATCCCTGAACAACTGCTGGAACACTGCAGAGCAGCACACTTAATGCATGCTCTAGTTTGTCATGGGAAAAGATCAATTTCAAGGTTATTTCATCTGAGAAAAAAAGAATCTTTCCAGGAGGACAGATGGCGTTACTGAAATCAGTCGTAACAGCATGTGAACCTAGTCTCATTTAAGGGCAGCAATTCCAATATTACACCAACATATTTTTGTAATTAACTATAAATAAGCGTAAGCCAAGGCCCATGTTTTATTTACGAATAGGAGGAGGTATCTGACACATTTTGAGGATGTAAAGAGTTCAACCCTTTTCAAGTATACATTATTTCCTCATCTGTTTTTACTTCACTCCTCCCACACAGCACTGTGGTGGAGGTGCCTTAACCAGAGACATCTAATCGGGGTAATAAGTTGAGGTTGGACTCGTCAGACTTGCTGATTAAAGCAAAGGAGGTGACTGCTCACATGTTTGCAGCATGTTGCCACATGATGCTGTTGTGGTTCCTCTTTTGGGCTCAAGTGTAGCCATATTATTCTGACCACAGACATTATATATGTGGATGCCCTGTGGACTATTGGAGGTGCCGTAGTGGCTGGCCGCCATATTTTATGGGTCTCCATTTGTCCCCAGTGCATTTATTTCTACTGAGGAAGTTGCTTACCTAACTAAAAAACATATTTTATCAAGCTATTTCACAAAATCAGACATATGTTATGATAGTAAAAAGATAAATATAATTAAACAAAACAAATGAAAACATTAAATCCCAACAGGTAGGCTAGAAAAGTTAATAATAATCCCATGTGATCTGTTTTCAGTAGTGCGCCGATTGTTGAAACCATAGGCTGTAAAAAGGGGCATAGTTGTTCACTCAGTGTTTACTCCAGTTGGGTTTGGAGAGTGAGAGACCCATCCAATATGGCGGCGATGCTGTTGCACTCTCCAGTGTGCAGTTAGGTGTTTACGTAAACATGTCTTATGATTCTCACCTCCTTCTTACTGTCTGTCACAATCTCTGGTTGATCATATGTCTAATTTTAAACTTTTCTTCCTCTCAGCTGATCTCCAGTGATGCAGATGGGGCCATTCATCGGGCGGGACGCTTCAGGGTGGAGAATGGCTCATTAGATGAGGTAAATACAGTTTTACCATGCTATTCCATCCATCCATCCATACATCAATCCATGGCTAGCCAATCTCTATTCAGTTCTTCAATAATGTGGCAACTATTTTGCTCGTACCTCCAGAAGAATTCTGTAACCTGTCTCCTGTAGCTGCTGGTACAAAACATTTATTACTCATGGTCAAATAAAATTAATTTGGCTCAGAGTGATTGCTACATTATTAAACAAAAAGAAAACTTCCATGTGTCCCTGTTTCTTTACTATCTGCCTCTTTTTATCTCAAGAAGAAACAGTTGCTCGTTTTGAAATACGGTCAGTCACTCGGAGTTTCACGTGCCGGATGTGCGTTGGCCACAGAAAGAACTATGATGGGTAAATGATCGGGTCCGAAGAAAACACACTTATCTGCGTCACACCGGCTTGTAGGCTGTTGTTGGTTTAGCGGACAAGAGACAGTAGAGAACATCTTGGCTAGTAGAAACTAACCGTTAGCATTAGCACAGCATGGCAGAACTCCTTCAGGCTTGTGTTATTTGTGGGGGTAAAGCATCAATGTTCCAGAGCAAACAGAGGCAGAGGCAGGTGTTTGCATATCATCAATAATGACTAAGACTCCAAGTGCTTTCTCTTGTGCTGAGTGTAGACCCACTTTAAAGACCAAGTTCAGCTGTCTGAATGTGATTTCCTGCCCTGCATAACAATTGTGCATGTCTGCATTGTGTAACACTTTTCTGCAGGAAAACGCTGCAAGAAGCAGCTGCAGCCATCCTAATGACCTTGTGTTGCATGTCTCTGTGTGTGCATGTGACAAACAGACTTCAGAATACACTCCGGGGACATGGAGGAGAACGGATGTCCATCTGGAAAACCCAGAGTACCACACCAGATGGTACTTTAAATACTTCTTGGGAAAAGGTCAGTAGTGCTCTGTTGGAATCGGTTTAAGAAACATACATTTAGTCAAAGATGTAGTTCATGAATCCATGGTTAGGGTGAAGAACACCTGATGGGTGCAGAAATAAACCAACTTCTTGAGTGTTGTCCACGACCCACTGGACACTTTGTATCTTATCAGCCATGTCTAACTGATCCAACGTTCTTTAATCACAACTAAATCCATATAATCTGAGAGCCTCAAACCTTCTCCAAGCCTCATCCAGCACACATGAAGGAAATAAGTTACATGATCATTAAAATGCCTACAAGTAAAAGCCGTAAAGACTCTTCTGTTGGCTCCTGAAGAGTCCTCCGGTCTGCATGAAGATCACAGGAAAGCAGATTGTTAGAAATAAATTAGAATTATTCACCTGCTCCTTCAACCTTTCTGACTGTCATCATTTCAAGATCCTCATTATCAACCTGCCTGTTTTCAGACTCGGGTTGTAGGCGGTGATGCAAGTGGCACAACAAAAGATAATAGTCGGTATTTCTTGACCATTATCAGAGCGGGAAGGATCGCAGAGGACTGAGAAGTTCAGATAAATGACAGAACCTGGGATGGATTCAGACCCACATGTGAAGGAAAGTTAGAAAAAGTCAACTAAGGAAATGGGGGAAAATCCACGCAGAGTCGAATGATGTTTTTGCATATGGAGTTTTAAATGATCCATGTCTGAAGTAAGTTGGCTGGACCTGTTTGGATCACAGCTGAGCCATCTGTGTCTCACAGTCTGAGCAGAGCTTCAGCACACCATTGGAAAGCCACTTCCTGTGTGACAAAGCACCTGCTGTTTTAGAATTAGTCGTTGTTAATTAGCAGAAAATAAGTAAAACTGTTTATCCTTTTCTCTGTTTCCAGATATTAGATAAAAATATCTCTGATTGTGGAGAAATTAAAGGCTTAAAACTAAAAGAAAATTGTGGTTATGTGCAGCGTGGCCTCATCTGAAGCATCAAATTACAGTTTTTTTTTTTCGATTGCTAAAACACGTTTTTCAAAACTGTACATTTCTTTCAAAACTGCACACACAAAACCCCAAACATAACACACAAATTCCTAAACCGTGGCTTCCCTTTGCAACAAAACCCTGACATCACATATCGTAACATGTTCCCAAAATGGAACACGTGTTTTCATTTGGTAAACACAGCCACATTTTCACATGACACACACATACCATTCATTGCTTTAACACAAGTAGCCTTTGGGTGAACACTACCAAGCATGGAAAGAACACTGAAGAGCAAAACTGAAAACCCAATTGTCTAAATGGAACCCAATGAATTACACACTGAATGTATGACAGTGCCCACTTTTCTCTGAGACAAACATTAGACATCACACAAATTTTGAGACAAAACATTTTATTTTGACAGTTACACCCCCCCACCCCCAACCCCACCCCAAAAAAATTTTTTTTGAGACAAAACATTTTTTTTTACAGTTGCTTTAGATTTCACCTTTCCAGTACCTATAATGCAGCTTTAGCAGTTCCAGTCTAGGTCACACCTTCCTGCATCTAATCAACACAAAGACTTCCTCTCAATAGAGGCTAATGACTCATCAGGGGGTAGAGAGGAGGGGGTACCCCTCTACCCCTATTTTCTGTTTGTTAAATAACAACATGTTTATGTTTATTCATATGGCAGATGCTTTTATCAAAAGCGACTTACAATTTATAACCTATAGGACATGTTGTGATCTGTGGGGGAAACCGGAGTACCCGGAGGAAACCCACGCATGCATGGGGAGAACATGCAACTCCACGCAGAAAGGCCGCAGCCGAGTTTCGAACCTGCAAGCTTCTTGCTGCGAGGCAACAGTGCTAACAACTGTGCCACCATACAGCCCATATAAGTTTCATTCTGCCAAAGTGTACTAGAAGTTAATCCATTGGGGGAGTGGCTGTGTGATGTAAAACAGCAGCGTTCAATGACCAGAAGCAGCCAAAATCCCAATGGTGTGGGGGGGTTCCTCCACGTTTTCAATGCTGGGAGTTCAGAAACAACGATTTTATAGCTGCATCCATGCTGCTTCGTTTTTTTTTTTTTTTTTTTCCCATTGGGCTTCAACAGAAACTCTTCCAAGTTTACAAATGTTGGTTGTCTGACAACATCTGCTGATGTCATGTCCTACTGAGTTACAACCAGTCAGCGTGTGTTAACCACAAATCTGACTCAGCGACTCTACCGGGACATTTTCAAGTGTGTACCCCAGTTTGGTTGGTCCCTGAAATGGCCCAGAAAATAGTCCTGTCTGGCCAGTCCGATGAAATGTGCCTGTTGTGAAGGTCCGATGAAATCACCCAGTGTTCTAGCCGTGCTTTTGTGAGGAGAAACGTTCAGGTGTCCCACCTTGATCAATCAGTCTAATAATAAAAACAATTCCTACCTTGAGTTTACCTCCACATTATTAGAGTAACGCCTTTTGATGTTTTGAAGGTATGATGTCATTTCTGTCATGTTTGCAAATATTACTGCACATTACACTGATTGGTTTATTTTATTTATATTGAAAGGAACAATTTCAAACTGTCAGTGTTCATGTTGGTATTTTCCATTAATTATTGTTATAGAAACAATTATAAATACAGAGTTTTATTGGTCCAAAATGTGAAATGTGAATTGTACATATTCTTACGGATGTTTAAAATGATTGCATCAGAAGTAAAATGCATATCTTTTAATTGAATAAAATAAGACTAAAATGAAAGCAAATTGGACGACTAAATTGTGACTAAAATTATTTTTTATTTTAGTCAAAAGCCTAAGACTAAAACTAAACTAAAATATATAATATATCTTGTCAAAATTAGCACTTGTATTAAACTAATATTTACAGTAACGTTGAACATTCTGCTGTAAATGATCACGAGTTCATGTTTCATTTTGTCTCTTGTTTTTGTTTCCATCAGTCCACCAGAATTATGTGGGTACGGATGCAGAGAAAAGCCCTTTCTTCCTGTCAGTTGTGCTCTCGGACCAAAACAACCAGCGGGTCCCTCAGTACAGAGCAATCCTCTGGAGAAGGACGGTAAGTTTGTCAAATGCCATCCATCCATTTTCAGCCATTTATTTGGGGTCGGGTCGTGGGGGCAGTAGCCTTCCCTCTCCCCAGCCACTTGGGCCAGCTCTAGGAATCCCAAGGTGTTCCCTGACCAGCCAAGAGACATACACCCTCCAGCGTGTCCTGGGTCCTCCTTTAGGTCTTCTCCCGGTTGGACGTGCCCAAAAACCCTCACCAGGGAGACATCCGGGAGGCATCCCAACTAAATGCCTGAACCACCTCAACTGGCTCCTCTCGATGTGGAGGAGCAGCGGCTCTACTCCGAGCCCCTCCTGGATGACCAACCTTCTCACCCTTTCCACTACCCAAAGTTCGTGACCATAGGTGAGGGTAGGAATGTAGAGCGACCGGTAAATCGAGAGCTTTGCCTTCCAACTCAGCTCTCTTTTCACCATGAAAGATCGGTACAACGCCCACATCACTGCAGATGCAGCACCAATCTTGCGCTCCATCCTTCCCTCACACATGAACAAGACCTCAAGATACTTAAACTCCTCCACTTGGGGCAGGACCTCATCAAATGGTAAATGTTAAATTACCTGTGTTTATACAGTGCTGTCTAGGGTTTTACAACCCTCCAAGGTTTTTTACAACACAAAAGGTTTCTCACCCTTGCACACACACACACTCGCTTGCTGGTGATGAGCTATAATGTAGCTACATCAGCCCTGGGGGTCACGGACAGAAGCGAGGCTGTTGAACACTGGCGCCACCTGTCCCTTCGACCACCACCACTGGACAAAGCAGGATATCTGTCTTGTCAGAGGGCACCTCTGCCACCGCCGCCCCAATATTGGGAAGAAATTCTCAGATAAATAGTTATCATATACAAATTCACAACGATTGACCCTTCATTGAACCTCAAACACGTGTATCCCATCAAACGTACTTAGATGATCCGTTTAGCAAATGTTGTTTTTTCTAACTCAAAGAAGCACAATCTTCTGTCTTGAGGGACACTTTTGAGTCAGTGTGTGTGTAGGTGTGTGTGTGAGATGCTTGCTCATTAATGTGTGTTTGCTGCTTAGTGATTCAGTTACATGACCAAGATAGCTTGGATCTAATTTTGGCCTCCAGCCTTGTCTGGAACCTGATTAGGGAGGTGCACCTCCGCTGCACGATCACATTGATTTGTCTTGTTTCTGTCAGGCTCTAACTGGTACAGGATGTTTGTGTTGCATGTTGTTATACAACAGAGCCGCTGTGTAATTATTCTGTCTGTAATCCAAGAAAACGTGTGCAGTTTGAATTTCTTATTGGGTACCAATGCACAGTTCTCCCTGACTGTGCTGAAAAATAGCAGTTAGCTGAACAAAAACATGCTATAGCAAGACAATTAAGTCTCACTGTTAATTATGTTTTTAAATCCCAGATCTGTTTTGTTCTTTTTTGGCTCAGGGCACGTTGAAGATCAGCCTTCCCTACAGCCCAACAAAAACACTGTCAGTTAAGTCCATCTTAAGGTGAGTGGTGTCGCCTGTAGTTTTAAAGGGGACACATTGTAACTGCTCTTAAGTTATGGTAAAGTCATAAACCAGCTCAGTGACCTAGTAGTATGAGTATCCGCCCTGAGACCGCGAGATCGTGGGTTCAGATCCACGGTCGGGTCATACCAAAGACTATAATTCAATTCAAGTTTATTTATATAGCGCCAAATCACAACAAGAGTCATCTCAAGGTACTTCACACAGTAAACATTCCAATACAGGTCAGTTCATTAAGCCAATCAGTACAAAGTTTCCTATATAAGGAACTAAGCAAATTGCATTGAGTCACTGACTAGTGTCAGTGTCTTTACAGCAATCCTCATACGAATCAAGCATGTAATAACAGTGGAGAGGAAAACTCCCTTTTAACAGGAAGAAACCTCCAGAGGATCCCGGCTCAGTATAAGAAGCCATCCTCCACGACTCACTGGGGATCGAGAAGACAGAGCAGACACACGCATACACAAACACACATACACACACACAACATATATACCAAGTAGTGTTGCTATGGTTACTTGTGATTTCTTAGTAAATAATCTATTTAGTGACAGATAAACCTTATTGTATTTATCCTAGTGAATCTATAATTAACTCAAGGGGTAAACTAGTAGTAGCACATTCAATGTCAAAGAAAGTTAAATGTTATTATCAGGAGAGGGAGAATGTTTAAGTGGTTAGCAACAGTGTTCAAGCCGATGGCCCCCACCATGAGGCCACCACAGCTCAGCAGAACATCATTGTAGTTTCTTCTGGGGAGAAAAACACTTAGAGAAAAAATTAAGTTAACAACTGTAAGTTATAGGAGAAAGTAGTCGAGTGTGGAAAGTGGTCAGTGTGTCCTCCAGCAGTCTAAGCCTATAGCAGCATAACTACAGAGATAACTCTGGATAACCTAGCCTTTTAGATGGAGGCATGTTGGAGGCAGGGCAAGGGAGAGCCGTCTTTACCGACTGTACACTCCACCTCCCTCTACTCCCCCACTTGTCCAGATCTAGGCTAACATCAGATTTTAACCATAGGCCCTATCAAATAAAAATGTTTTAAGCCTGGTCTTAAAAGTAGACAAGATGTCTGCCTCACAGACTAAAGCTGGGAGCTGGTTCCACAAGAGGGGAGCCTGAAAGCTAAAAGATCTGCCTCCCATCCTATTTTTAGATATTCTGGGAACCACCAGTACACCTGCAGTCTGAGAGCGAAGTGCTCGGTTAGGAACGTATGGAACAATCAGATCACTGATGTATGATGGAGCTTGGATATTAAGTTTTATGAGGAGGATCTTAAAATCTATTCTGAAATTAACAGGCAGCCAATGCAGGGAAGCTAAGACAGGAGAGATAAGATACCTCTTTTTAATTCTCATCAGAACTCTAGCTGCAGCATTTTGGACAACAAAAAGCTAATGGGTCCCAATGCCTCCCTGCTTGACACTCAGCATTAAGGGATTCGATTGGTTGGTTAAACCACCAAATAGTTCCAGAGCACAGCCGTGTCTGCAGCTCACTGCTCCCCCAGGGGATGGGTCATATGTGGAGAACAAATTTCACCACACACCAGTGTGTGTGACGACTAATGTGACTTTAATCTTTTAATAGTTCTATGTTCAATAAAAATCATGTTCATGAAGTTCTTTGAATTAAACCTGTTGAATCCTAGGTCTTTTTTGAGAAATCTTTAATGAGTATACTTCTATAACCACAAGGTCTATTTGATTGCTTTGGTTTCATGTCTAAGAAAAATCTTGTGGGATTTGTTGAGATGTGTAGTAGTATACTAAAGTATAGTATAGTAAGTGTCACTGATTTAGTGGAAATGGACATGGAACATTGTGGAAAAAGTAGATTTTTGTCTTAGCTGCCTGAAAATGTCAGATTTCAGGATGAATACCTCTTTGGAAAAATTCATCAGTAGCTTCAAACTTCAATAAATTCATAGCCCTGCATTTTGACAGTAGTTGTACAAAGTACTTCAGCGCTCCCTCAAATGGCACACCTGTGCCAGGAGCATTTGGATTGCAATGCTGTTTCTTCCACTGACTCATTTCCATCCATCCATCCATTTTCTGAACCCGCTTGTCCACGTAGGGTCGCGGGGGGCTGGTGCCTATCTCCAGCGGTCAATGGGCAATCAGGTGGGGTACACCTTGGACAGAGAGCCAGTCCATCGCAGGGCAACACAGAGACACACAGGACAAACAATCATGCACACACACACACTCACACCTAAGGACAGTTTGGACAGACCAATCAACTGTCAACAGTCATGTTTTTTGGACTGTGGGAGTAAGCTGAGTACCCGGAGAGAACCCACGCATGCACAGGGAGAACATGCAAACTCCATGCAGAAAGATCCCAGGCCGGGAAGCGAACCCAGGACCTTCTTGCTGCAAGACAACAGCTCTAACCACTGTGCCACTGTGCAGCCTCTGACTCGTTTCCATTGTTGAAAAATATTGGCGGATTTATAACACATAACCATGAAAATCAGGTCTAAAATACATGGGAGTGGGTCTAAGTCTCTGGGCGACGCCATATTAGACATGATGTTTCCTTCTACGGGAGCCTGTGAGGACAAAACACATTTACACATTTGTAACAAGTGGTTACAAAACTTGTGCCATTCATAAACATTGATGTTTTACACATTTACCTCCATTTATTGGGAAAGAGAGTCTGATGTGCTTGCCAGTTTGCAGGAGGTTGAACATCTGACAAAGTACTTGTTCAAAATTGCTCTTCCAGCGATTTTTGACCCTAATGGCCATCCGTTGGTATGGTCTTACTCAAACACAAAAATACTGCTTTATTGCAATGATTTAGGTACATACTGCCCCCTGTCGCTAGGGAAAATACACACAAATAGTGCCTTTTTATTGCGCTTTAATCTGCAATATGCTTTTGCAGTGAAATGTCACATAGTTTTCCAAAGTGTTATAAATTACAGACTTATTTGCTCGTGAGATATTACATGTCCACTGGCAGATGTCGTGAGAGCAAAGAAACAGGATACAAGGAGATGCATGACAGAGGAGATTGGAGATTATAAATTCCTGCAGCCAAGTAAAAGCGTCACTCTTCAAACTCAAATGAGCACAAATGGAACAAACTAGATGAGAAATCCCCAGTATCAGGTCTCATTTTTCTGTGTTAGGCTGTGGGCCATTTGTCTTTAATCAGCTCTAAACTCCCACTCCTTTCTTCCTTTCTCTTTTTTGTTTCCTTGCTTCTGCCAACATTTCATTTCCCGCCCCTCCTTCTTTGATTACAGTGCAATGAACATGGACCGGTTTGAGAAAGGCCCCAGGGAGATCCTCAACCCAGACATTCAGAAGGTGAGAGGGACACCAGAGCATCTGTCTGCTCCTATTGCAAAAGTCCCTTTCATGCCAAGCCCTATCAGCAGCATCTGGACTTCATGATGTCCTCAGGCTGTGTCATCTCTAGCTGCAGTTCTGGTTTGTGTGAATGACGGTTTTTATTTCTCTTTGCCTTCAGGACCTGCTGGTGTTAGAGGAGCAGGAGGTATGAGAGGCTGAACAGCAGTCTTGTTTGGGTTTTTCTCATTAAGTTGATTTATCCTTTTTTTTTTTTTAAATAAACTATTTGTCTAATTTAGTGTCAACTTATTTTTGGTGTTATTCCATATTTATTGTTCCAAATTCTGTAATTTATCCTGCTTTCAGTGTGTCACGTTATTCATATTTTATGCACTTTTCTGTTGAAACTCATATTTTTTGACATTCAACTACTATTACTGTTTGGTAGGGTTCTGTCAACTTTAAATTCGGTGTGCTGTTTGCTAAAGATGGGCAGCTCACAGATGACGAGATGTTCAGCAACGGTAACAGCCTCTGCACTTTTTAAACCTACTTACAATATGTAGGCATGTTGTATGAATGCTAAAGTGAACACATTTGAAATGGATAAACAAACTTTACTTTAATTATTTTGCAGAGACGGGGAGTGAGAGCTTTGACAAGTTTCTGAAACTGCTGGGTGACACCATCACGCTGCAGGGATGGGCGGGATATCGCGGAGGGCTTGACACAAAGAGTAGGGATACCGCTACCTTCTCAGCTGCACCAGCATCGTCTCTCCAGTGAAAAGCTTTAGACATGTTTACTATTGTGTCTTTGAGCAGATGACACTACAGGAATCCAATCCATCTACACCGTGTATCAAGGGCATGAGCTCATGTTTCACGTGTCTACCATGTTACCGTACTCTAAAGACAACAAACAGCAGGTGTGTATCTGTATGGGTGGGTTTGCATGTTTTCACTGTTTTATGTTTTTTGTTTGGTTGATTGATTGGTTGGTTGGTGGTTTAATTGATTGGTTGGTTGATCTGTTGGTTGTTTGATTGGTTGTTTAATTGATTGGTTGGTTGGTTGGTGGTTTAACTGGTTGGTTGGTTTGGTTGGTTGGTTGGTTGGTTGGCTGGGTGATTGATTGGTTGATTGGTTGATTGGTGGTTCAATTGGTTGGTTGGTTGGTTGGTTGGTTGGTTGGTGGTTTAGTTGGCTGGTTAGTTAGTTAGTAAAACTGGGTGTTTTAGATATTAAAAAAACTTCAAGAAACATTTGAAAACATGACTTCAGTTATGTCTGGTTATTATTAGAGCAGATTCACAAAGAAACAATTTCTTACTTATTACTTTTGAAAAAGATCAGTTACTCTGAGTTTAACATGCAAGCTGAATGTGAAAATAGTCTTCTACCCCTATTTCCTGTATTAGCTTCTGATAGAAAATAGACAGAAAAACGATCAGTTCAGTAAAGCCATTTTTAACGATTATGTCCGATTATAATCTGTCACTGAGTTTTTCATGCAGGGTGAACATGAAAATAGTCTACTATACCTATCTCTTGAATTAGCTTCTGATAGCAAGTAGACGGTAAAATGCTAGGATTTAAAAAGCCTGACAGATCTATGTCACACTGTCACTTGTCATTCATGGACTCACCCATCTTGACTCGTGCTAAGGTTGGGCATCGAGAATCGAGCATCGATTGACACCGGTTCCAACTGTTCATTTTTCCCGGAATCGCTCAACATTTTTTATTTTGATTCCTAGAATGCCGACGGAGGAGGAATCCGCGGCCGATCTCCGTGAAAAATAAACGTGATCTGCAAATTGTGATCAACGCTTTTCAGAGCTAATCACACCAGCTGTCTGTGTGCAGCACGAGTCCTCCATGCCCCCACCTGGCGCGCAGCGGCCAAATCTAAACAAACATGTCTGCCGAACTTTTACTCCGTAATGTAAACTTTAACTCCTGCAGCGTAGAGGAAACTTGTAAAAATATGTCAACACGGTGGATTTAATAGAAGCTTTAAAGAACAAACTCTGGACGGTGTGAGGTTAGTTTGTCTCACTGCAGAAATGAAAACACACACGGAGCATCAGCAGTCAGACACATGAGCGTCAGAAGGCTGAACAATAACCTGTAGAATAATTAAAGTCATCATGCTGGAGAAGCTTATCTGTGGTGGACCACACCAGCTTCTGCCACAATAAATACTTATAATAATAATAATAAGTCACACACAAAGCTGTGAACATTTTAATTTCCTTTCTGAACTATTTCTGTTGAGTTTTAATGTTTAAAATCTGTTAGGTTGTTACTGACAGCAGCTACATTTAAGTTTCACTTCCTGTTCTGAATGAATGCTGCTGCAGCATGGAGGTGTAGTTCTCAGTCATCCTGGACATGATCATCCTGAGAGTTTTAGCTGAAAACAGCTGGACGTTTCTGGATATGTTGGAGACATTTAGCCTCTCATCCCAGAGGTTTCTTCCACACTTTGGTTGTGGTCAGAAACAAACACACTGGTTGTGCTGCAAGTCTTTTTCTTTTTGTCTCCAAAACATGTTTTTGTCTAAATGAAGGTGATGTTGTTGTTCATAGAATTAAAATTCATGTTGAAGTTAAGATTATTTCATCAAGTAGGACCTGCGGTTAGCTGGCTCATGTAAAGCATGTCATGTCTTCAAAGAATCGGAATCGGGAATCGATAGAAACCGGAATCGAAATGGGGAATTGGAATTGGAATTGGAATCGTTCAAAATCAAACAATGTCCAACCCTATTCGTGACAACTCGTGCTGTTGTTGGTTTAGCATCCAGGAAACAGCAGAGAATGTCTCGACTAGTAGAGGCTAACCATTAGCATTAGCAACACCAACACACAGCAGAACTCCTACAGGCTTGTTTTATTTGTGGAGATAAAACAGCAATGTAGCAGAGCAAAGAGACTCAGTGGTAGACTCTTGTTGATGTCAGCCAATCAGGAAATAAGCTACTTTCTCCTCCAGCTGACTTCTACATCCTCAAACAGGTGCACCGGAGCTTTTATTCCCCCAGAGAACGATTTACAAGGTATTCATTCCTACTAGAGACCAATTCAACAATATTAAAAATATGAATAAGGCTGACCTTTAATAGCAACTGGTTATGCCAATTTTTCTGATTGGTCACCTTTACTGGCAGCTATACGTTATAATGATTGTGCTTCAGTGAAATGAGAAACACAGATAAATGTGTGGATAACACCCAAAGGCTATTCTAATTAAAAAATGCTAATTTTATTGTCCTTCAAGTACAAAGAAATACATATACATGGGATTTTAGTGTTCTTATTAATAATTTGGAATGTCATATTAACTATTTACCAACTATTCAGAATCAGAATCAGAATCAGAAGTTTTTATTGCCATATATGTGCCAAGTCACAACATTAGGAAATTGCTGCGATATTTTGGTGCAGAAGGTAAGATAGAAAAAAAAATTTATTAAGAGATAAGCAAATATAAGAACTAATAAAACACTCATGATAAAATTATTAATGTAAAAAGTGGCAAGAATTAGAGAAGCAGCTATCTACTCCGTGTAGGTATTTATCTGAGTGTTTGTTGAATGGTTCAAGCACAGCATCGGGTCACGTGACTGGGACCAATCAACTTGAGTGGGCTGCCCTAGGATTTTCATTCAAAAGTCCACCTGCAGAGGGGAAGAAACTGTTTTTGTGGCGAAAGGTTCTGGTCCGAATGGATCTGAGCCTTCTGCCAGATGGGAGCGAGTCGAAGAGACTGTGTCCAGGGTGAGACATCAGTAATGCTGTGATAAAAAATCACTTTTATTATTAAATTTGACTTTTGACTTTTATTACAAAAAATAAATCCAAGACACTCAATAGGAAAGCTCCTTATGGTCTTTGTGATGTCCTTCCCCTTTGTTCTAATGCCTCCCTGAGGTTGACATTGTTAATTACTCTAATTGAAATCACGTCTTCACAGATAATTGATTCAGTTTCTTTTTACTTTAAACACTTAAAACCAAGTCCTATCTCTTTCTTGGAATAATAATTTCCCCTCATTTTTGCAACCTTCATTAAACAAATGAACCTTCATGTAATCAGCACAGAGAAGATACTGGGCTGAGGTCGTTAGCACTTTCATTTAAGAAAATTTAAACAGGAAACAAGGATGATGGCAGCCACTAAAGACAACCTATTTAGAAGGAAAGAGAGAAAAAAGGGACATTGTTGCTCTTTTTTGTCAAGTCAATATTTGTGATGGGTTGGTGCTTTGTGGATCTGACACATAATTGGATTTTTTAAAGAACAGCCACTCTGGCGGTCAATAAGAGGGAACAGTCTGTGCTTGTTCTGGATGGGGCTGCTGTGTGCTGCACGATTCCTCTCCACCTGAGTAATAAGAACATCACCCCTACTTCTGTGGTGGTTTTACAGTCATTGTTGTGGCTGGATGTGCCTCAGGCAAAAAAAGAAATTATACAAGATATTAATAGTGGAATGTGCTCATTAATATATAGAAACGTTGAGTTTGGAGTTGTTTCTTCTAAGGCCTAGTCCACACGTAGCCGGGTTTTTTTAAACGAATATCCGCCCCTCCAAAAACTTGCATCCACACCACCTCGTTTAAAACAAAAACTGTCCACACGTACCCGGATAAATACGTTGTTAAGGACATGCCAGACCTGTAGACGGCAGTACTTCCCCCGTTCTTAACCTCGTCCTTCGTCTGTGGTCTTCCACAAGGAGCAGTAATTCCACTTGCAAAAACAAACAAGCCAAAAGCGCTTGGACAATTGATAAAGCGAGCGCAGCTCTGAGGGCATCCATGCTGTCGGCTAGTGTAAACACAGGTCGCACACGTGATGTCAGCATTTTTTGTCGCGGAAAGTGACGTTGCGGAGCTTAAAACTCCGGTTTTGTCTGTCCACACGCAGACACCCAAAACGGAGAAAACGCAATCTTCCCTTTGGCCAGAGTTTTTAAAAAGATCCGTTTTCGTGTGGATGACAGGCCAAAGCGTAGAAGAATATCTACGTTTTGGCAGATCCCCGGCTACGTGTGGACAGGGCCTAAATCAAGGATGCCCAGTCCTGGTCCTGGAGGGGGCGGTATCCAGCAGGCTTTAGTGGTTTTTCTGCTCCAACATGCTTGATTCAGTAGTTGAATCACCTGTGCAGCAGCTCATCCGGCTCTGCAAAAGCCTGATAATCAGCTGCTGATTGAAACCATTGAAACCAGGTGTGTAAACAGGATTAACACTAAAGCATGCTGGATAGTGGACCTTCAGGACCGATTGGGACTCCTGGCTAGACCATCCCATATGCAGTACAGGCCAAAAGTTTGGACACACCTTCTCATTCAATGTGTTTTCTTTATTTTCATGACCATGACCATTTACAAAGGGGCCAACAAGTGCTAAACACCTCTGGGAACTCCTTCATGACTGTTGGAAAACCATTTCAGGTGACTTCCTCTTGAAGCTCATCAAGTGAATGCCAAGAGTGTGCAAAGCAGTAATCAGAGCAACGTGCGGCTATTTTGAAGAAAATAGAATATAAAACATGTTTTCAGTTATTTCACCTTTTTTGGGTTAAGTACATAACTCCACATGTGTTCATTCATAGTTTTGATGCTTTCAGTGAGAATCTCCCAATGTAAATGGTCACGAAAATATAGAAAACACATGGAATGAGAAGGTGTGTCCAAACCTTTGGCCTGTACTATATATATATATATATATATATTTATATATATATATATATATATACAGTATATATATAATTTTTTGAACTTATTTTTTTTTTCATATAGATATATATAAAAGCCAACTAAATAAAGCCTAGGGATTTAGATATTACTACTTTAGATCATCTAACACAACTTTGTGTGGAACACAAGAACGAAACATCTCAAAGCTAATAGTGGTTAGCATAAATCTTCCAGATGCCTTTTAAATAGCTCTCAAGCTGAGACAAGAGTCCTCGGAACCGGCCTCCTGCACTTCTTATAGCGGAACCAACGAGGGTGTAACCGGATCTCTTCTACATTTTGTGGATTATTGCTGAGCGATTGGAAATGAACAGATGCTCCGTTTATTCTGATGAGCAACGTAAACAGAAACACAAACGAACAACATCACCAGCTGCCCGCTCCAATTACAAAACACATTTTGTGTAATTATTGTGACAAGGCTGTTACCGCAGGTCACACCCATAACTACACACCACACCGATCACTTTCACACACGTTTATTTCTCCGGACTGATCAACCTACAGCTCCTCCCTGCTGCTGGATCCGTTATAAAACTAAACCTTTACCTGTTTTTGCTTACTTAGAGGTGAAACAAAATGTGCACCAGACGTGTATTTCATTTACTGCTTAGTTCTCACAACCAGACAGACAAGAGGAAATTTGTACAACTTTAATCAGCAAAACATGTTTAAATCCTACAGAGCTCTGAAACAATATTCCAGTATTCACTGAAATTTCAGATTTGATGTTTGAATGTCTATATCTAGTTTTCACTCTCTTTTAAGGCTCCATTTCTAATATCAGGGTTAAAAAACAATCCCTTTGCTCATTTATTTTAAGCTGTTGGTTTTCTCTCCATGTGTGTCTGCCAGGTGGAGAGGAAACGGCACATTGGGAATGACATCGTTACCATAGTGTTTCAGGAAGGGGACGATGCGTCGTCATCCTTCAAACCATCCATGATCCGATCCCATTTCACCCGTATCCTTCACACGAACAACGACCGGGTATAAGCTGAACCACAACAACACAGTTCCTCCTGTGTCCCTTCACTCTTATCTCCAGATATTTTTGCATTAGTTAAGTATAATAGCCAGAATGACAGTTACAGGTGAGCTTTGAGTTTCTCCCACTAAACCTGAATGTGTTTGATCTGTTAGAAAAATGTGTCATGCGTCCTCTCTGCCTCAGGTTAAAGATTTTCTCCGAGGAGAGCGTCCCCCTCTTTGGACCCCCTCTCCCGTCTCCGCCGGTGTTTACTGACCACCATGAATTCAGGGACTTTTTATTAGTCAAATGTAAGAGGAAACGCTACAGGTATATGCATCAGATTTGATGACAGCAGGTTTAATAACTAAATATCGTCCCTCTTCAGTAATTAATGGAGAAAAAGCCACGCTGGAGACGCCAACCTTTGCCCAGAAGCGCCAGCGAACCCTTGACATGTTGATCCGCTCGCTTTGCCAGGACCTTACACCCGACCTGCACAAGGTATCCCAGCATTTCAGACCACCGGTGTTGTGCAGAGACCTGGATGAGTGTTATTTTTGGCTTCCTCTGTACTGCTGTCACTTCAGACAGCAGCAGTGACCGTAATCACTGCTCTGCTGCCTCTATCTGCAGCCCTCAGTCTACCGCCTCATACTGCACCACACAGATGGGACACCACTGCAATGCTGACTTTGCTCAGCAGTGCTCCCCCTTTTCACATTGTTTTTTTTTTCTTCTCTCTTGGGTTTTTTCCACTTTGTTTCTTTCACTGTTTCTCCTGTTTAAGTTCATATTGATGGCTGCTGCTTCTTCTGGCACCCCTTGCTAGGGTCAGTCTCTAAGCCCCCCTTTTGTTTCTCTCTCTTCATGTGTGTGTGCGTGCGTGCGTGCGTGTGTGTACGTGTGTGTGTGTGTGTGTGTGTGTGTGTGTGTGTTTCACATTTTGTGTGTTCCACGTTTAGGTTCCTTTTTCTCCCCAGAACATGTTGAATCGACGGTCGTTCAGCGACGTGCTGCCCGAGTCTCCAAAGTCAGCGCGAAAGAAAGAGGAGGCCCGGCAGGCTGAATTTGTCAGAATAGGACAGGTAAACACACACACACACACACACACACAAACAACAAGCAAACAAACTGAGGAAAGATTGTGACAATGGTGTCAACATCAATCACACAAGCACAGATTCATGTGTTTTCTAACATTTCTGGGTGTAAAATCAGAGCCTGTAACTGTTTACATCTATAAATGTTAGATGTCACACCCTAGGTGCACGAAGGGGCATTATTGTAGGTCCTTCCTCCTCTATAACCACCACTGCTCCCAACAAAACCAGTAAACATTTTTTATCCTCCTGCTGCTTTTTGCTGCTTTTTTTGATTCACACAGTTTCTGTGGTTATTCTATTTGCACTCATTCATATCTCATTTGCACAGTTTTCCATTCATGTTCTCACGTCCAGGAAACAGTCTCCTACTCTCTTTTATCCAAGTATTTTTGTTGCACCAAAAATTCCCCACTGAGGGACGACAAAGACATTTTCTGTGCTATTCTAGTCTTAAACAGCCTGTAGATTGATGTCAGAGATTATTCCTGAATTTGATGTGCTATGTCCAAGTAGGTTCTTAAGCTAATCGAGTGATAAGAAAAAAGTTTTTTTATTGATCTATTTATTTCTGTAAGAAGGGGACAAACTTATAAATATTCCCTTTGAGGCATGAATTATGAAATCTTCAACCATGATTTTTTAAACAATTCTTTAGGTGTGAATGAAACAAATTTCAACAAATATTTTTTGTAACATTTAACTTACAAATAATTTATTACACGTCCACCTCAGTGGACAGCGTGCATGCTGAACCTGAAATATGTTGGCTTGACTTACTGAAGTCCAAATGGAGGGGCTCAAATGCAATAAAGTCGTCAACAGCTGTGCTTAGTTGCAAAAAAAAATTAAATAAATAGTATTTTTGAGTACCTGTCCACTGTAGTGACCATTATGAATCAAATGGTTAAGGAGGTCCTAGAAGGAAGGAGGCGAAATGTCTCATGCTGGCAGTCATCAGCTGTTCCCATAAGCTAGGCCTAATTCTCTTTGGCACTTTTTTACTTCCATGCAAACAGAATCAATAGTACGCAATTAAAATTATTTTTAAAAACTGTGCAGGAGAGGTTAAGAAGACCACAAGATCTTAAAAAACATAAGTAATTTTTAGCAGCAGGAACAGATGAGTCACAAACAGCTTTACTGTGTGAAATGAACTTAGTAAGTACATTTTATTTATATAACACTCATCACAGAAAGAGAATCACAAAGTGCTTCACATAGACCAAAAAGAAAACTAAACAAATCCTAAGGTCATAAAATCATATTGAAAAGGTGATAGGAGACTTTGTGAAAAGAAGAAAAAGGAGTGGGCCTAAAACAGAGCCTTGGGGTACCCCACACAACAGATTGCTAGAATCTGACATGGTTTGGTTTATAGACACTTCTGTTAGAAAGGTGTGATCTGAGCCAGTCTGGAACCGTTCCAGAGATCTGCACCAAGTCACAAAGTCACAAAGTCTGTTAATTAAGGCGTTGTGATCAACAGTGTCAAACTTTTTAACAGTGTCTACCTCTTTAACAAGATTAGTACTTCTTCCGTCTAGTGGAAGATATTGGTGCCGCTTCTAAAATGTATTATTAGGAAAATGTCATATTGAGAAGTTATTTATTTGTTGAGATGTTGATCTCTTGCTTCATTAATCCAAACCTGAACCAGACTAATACACCTACACAAATAAGCAATCTGTTAGCAAAGCTGCTGTTTCTCTATTTGTTAAAGTGAAGAAAACAAAATGGTTTGGCCGACTGTTGTGTAGTGTTGCACACTTTGACACAAGCAAAATAGATTAAAAGTTAACCTTTAGTGCATTTATGGTCCATGTAAGCACAAAGCCTGGTAATTTCCTTGTTGTGTAACCTCAAAACAATAAAAGACAATATCAATAAGTCATCAAGAATGCAAATGTATAGGGATCCACACACTTTTCATTGTTTTCATTATGCAGAAATGTGTTTTTTAGTGTTTTTTTAATGATGGCACACCACAGTGCACTGCTAAGCCTCAGTACAGTTGGCAGGGACTGACGTCATCTCCAGATTGCCTGATTATGCAGTTATGTAAATGATATCAGTTTACTGTGGCTCACAGATTGGTGATGTTAAGTCGGATCAGATGGTTGCTGCTTAAATGTTCATACAGACTACTTCCTGTTAAGATTTTGAAATGATTACAGCTTTCAAGAAGTCCCAGATCATGTGTTAGTTTTTAAACTAACAGCTTTAGTGTTGTGGTTTGATTTGTCTCCCAGGCTCTGAAGCTGAAGACCATCGTGAGAGGGGATGCACCAACTAGCCTCGTTACCACAGGCCTGTGCAGAAAAGAGGTGTCTTGCACACGATCCTCCACAAACCAGTAACAGAATTGGCAAATATGTGTATTTATTCCCAGTGTTGTGTGTGCACGGCAGCCATGGGAGTCCCAGTCGTTCTGCAGCACGTTTCCCTACGAGATTGTGTGCTCCGACTCGTGGGGTCAGTCTCTGCTGGTCGCCATCGACACAGCTGGGGTCATGCTGCTGGATGGTGAGAGAATCCCAATCAATACATCATTTGCTGTCCAAATTATGCACCCAACACCCAGCAGCAGAATGTCAAGGCCACAATTAAGATGTTTTCCACGTTTCAGGTCCTGATCCAGCTTTGTCCAGTGGTGGTGAGCGAAACCCAGTCAGTAACTCTACAATTTGTTTTTTCCACTGATTTAATGATCTGATTTTCCTGTTGTATTCCAGACACACAGACCCTTGCTCCAGTGCAGGTGTTTGACAAAACCATCACCGTGAAGCAGATGCACATTTTGGAGCCTCAGGACCTTCTGATCACCCGCGCTGACAAAGGTGAGCTTTGAACACAAACACAGCAGGTACATGCTTCCCCTCTGCACATCAGAGGCAGCTTTCCTCCCCACCGTTCTTTTTTACACTTTTTCTACCCTCTAATTAAAGCGATATGTACAAGGGTTAGGCTTAGGGGCGTTGTTATTCTCCTTATCCTTTGTTATTAAAACTCTGCCATCTCCTCGGAGGCTTCGGTAACCCTGTAGAGGTTTTGTTTGTCAGCTTTTGCTGGGGTGAGATGAAATTATCAGATATGATGATAAAAGGGGGAAAAAATCCTGACATAAACAGGAAATCACTTTGGACATGAAGAATGTGGGATTTGTCTAATGTTTGCTTCAGCTGGGAAAGCATGTCATTAATTACTCTGCGGATGATTAGGCAAACCCCCAATATTGACAAACAAGGCCGGCTTGGATTTGGTAGCGATTATGTGATGTCAGCGCAAACATTTGTCACGACCATGTGTGGGCTTTGATAAACCCCGTGAGAGAACACGAGCCTTAAGAAGAGGCTCCGAGTAATCCCGCCTCAGCGCAGCGCCACGGTCTGCTCGTGGGAGGATGCTTAAAGCAGAGATGGCAAATTAAGAGTAACCTTCTTGCATAAACAGAAGCTGCTTCTCTTTTGTTCTCCAGGAAAGGATGCTCGGCTTTACGTGTTCAGGCTCAGCGTGATCAAAAAAGACCTGGAGGAAAGGCAGCTCGTCAGAGGCAAGTGTGACTGCAGGGAGAACAAACTGGAGAAAACTAAAGGTACACGGACTGCTAACTAATCTCCACGACAAGCACACAGAACACCCTGTGAGCTAAAAACACTGAGTACAAAACACAAAGTTTTTTTTTTACTCATGTCATGTAAACACTGATTAATTTAAGTGCTGTGTGCTAAATTAGCCAATTGTTCCTTTATTGGAGCTCAGCTGTGTTATTGTCAGTCACTGGGAAGCAGACATTACTTGTTATTTTTGAAAACCAACGGGTCACTCTGAGTTTCACATGCAAGCTGAACGTAAATAAGTTCTTCACCCTCCATTTCCTGCATTAACCGCCAAAAAAATAAAAATAACAGACCAGGAAACGCTCGGGTCAGACAAAGCCTCACAGATCTACGTCACACTGTAAATTAGCATTCATGGACTCACCCATATTGGGCCGCAACGGGGAAGGATATGTCGGTTTGGCATCCAGGAGAAAGTAGAGCGCGTCTCAGCTAGTATGAGCTAACTGTTAGCTTTAGCGACTCCACAACATGGCGGACCACATTCTGGCTTGTGCTGTTTGCGGAGATAAAACATCAACTAGGGATGTACGAAAATAGCGATATGGCAATATATCGTGATATATTTTCTCTTGATATTATATTGATATCCAAAAGCCGTGTATAAAAAATATGGATATCGCAATATATCGGGGTATTTTTTCCTGTGATATTATATCTATATTCAAAAGCTGTGTATCACATTTTTGGAAGAATTTACATCCAAACATTTGTGTTTTCTTTTCTTTTGGTGCATTTTAAAGCCAACCACTAGTTGGCAGCAGTGTACAAGGGGTTTTGTTTCCACCATTGAAATGTAAATTAAACATGTTAAATATCATTTTGGATTGTTTATTGAATTTTCCTAAAATAAATTCAGGCAAAAAAATCGCTAACATCGTCTGACTGAATGTATCGTAATATATCGTGATACATTGTATTGTTTCCCCGTATCACGATACGTATCGTATCGCCAGAATTTCACCATTACACATCCCTAACATCAACATTGCAAAGCGAATTCATGCAGTGGAAGAATTGTGTTGCTTTTAGCCAATCAGAGGAGAGATGTTTGCATATCATGAATATTAATGAGTAATGGGCTCGACACACGGGAGGTGACAAAGGACTGTGATCAGCGACACTTTTTTCTGTCACTTTGAAAACCTGACACACGTGAGGCGACATGCGGCCAGTGGCAAAAGCCAGCGACGCACTCTGTTCCAGGGCAAATAGCAAGTCTTCTGTTGCTTTGATTGGCCGTCAGATTGGAGGGAATGTTGGGTTATTAAAGCAGCTCAGAGTTGATAAAGTCTCACTAGAGTTAAGTGAAGTCTTACTTCTGACTTTACTTTATAAAAAAAATGAAAAATGCGCTTATGTGTCCATCCCAAACAGAAAAAGAAACGTGAATATGAGAGCACACCAACAACCAACCCACTGACAATTTTCCATTCCGCTGCCTTTTTGTAAAAATCTCTATATTCTTTTGTACAAATGTTGTAAAGCCCTGGGAAATCTGACATGGCAAGTATTGGCTTTTCCTTCATGCTTGCCCGGAGATGTACTGAGAAGCATCCTGTCCGCTCATTGGTCAGTCAACAAAACCTCCACTGATTGGTCCTTGTCTGAGTGACAGCGATGAAAAGTTTAAACATTTCAACTTTCTGGGATCGCGTCGCTGACTCTCCTGTGCTCATGCCCAAACGCAAAATTTCACATTCACGTTTTTTGTGTGTCGCTTAGCAGGAGGGAGACCCGCAAGTATCGCTTAGTCGCACGTGTCTTTTTTAAAATGAATGGAGGAGAGACAATGTCGCCTCTCATGTGTTCGGCCCGTAAGAATGAAAATCCTGCCATCTTCTGTCCCCACTCCTCCAACCTAGACCACGTACACACAAAGCCGGGTTTTATTAAACCGAATTTCCTCCCCAGTCTATCAAGGAAATCTTGGGTTCAAACCACCTTGTTTTCAGCAAAAAATATCCAGAGCACATTCATAGGCGTGTCCAGCCTGTTGGCGGCAGTAGTCCTCCAAACTGTCGGCATCCTAGCTAAAAAACATTTTTGGGATGTGGAATAACTAGGTGGCAGGTGATAATCGTTCTTAACGTCGTCTTTTGCCTGTGGTCTTCTACGTACATTGAGCACGTATTGAGTTTGTAAAAACAAGCGAGTGTGAACACAAGACGCACATGTGATGTAAGAGTGTTTTTGTCACGAGCAGTGACGTTACAAAACCCCGTCCATGAGCAAATGCTGACTAAGGGAATTTGCAAATCTCCACCTTGGTTGGAGTTGTTTTTGGTGAGTTATTTCTTCACTTTCATGGATGATGGGCCTGCAGACCACTGACCCGTCATTGTGAATTGTATTCTGGGGTGGGATGGCCTTCTTTGTCCACCAGGAAGTTGGGACATTGGTACACTTTCCTCTATAAGGCCATGCTTGGATTACTACCCACCTACATCTGTAACTTAATCTCAAGTAGAAGTGTAACTTCTCACAGTGTTGTAACTGCCTTCTGTAAGTTTGTACATAACATGCCTGTGGAGCAGAAAAATTTGTAACTGTAACTTTTGATGTTTTTGGGCCAGGACTCCCTTGAAAATTAGGTTTTTAATCTCAATGGGACCTTCTTGGTTAAATAAAGAATAAATAAAAAAATAAAAATGGGCCAAATTGTAGAAAATATGTACGTTTTGTGGGATACCCGGCTACTTCCTGAAACAACAGCGCTAGAGCTTTTTTCCACATAGAATGACTGAGAAAGGCATTCAGATTAGAGACCACAGCAGATTTACTGAATCGAGTGATAGGCCTCTTTAAGTGATAATTAGTTGATTAAATCTCTAGTTTTACATTGATCGCTATAATTATGGCTCAGAGGAGTCTCTCCTTTGTTTATAGATAAATTATTTATGATATGAATGAAGAAAAAAAAACATAAATGTTGTTTGGCTTTTATTGTAAAATAGTTATTTCTTGTCTTTAAGATTAAAATGTCTCCAACTAATGAGATGTCAGTGAGAAAATGGCTACATCAAGGAAGCTTAATTAGCTTTATTGGGCTGCAAGAATTTTAATAATCTTGAGTAAAATAACAATTAGCAGTTCTTTCTATTTCCAATTTTTGTCTTTACTCATGTGAAACACTCACGTTGGTCTCTAATCATTGGATTCTACGTTTTGAATCACAATGGCATTTTGTGAACATTAATAAATTTGTAAAAAAAAATACAATAATTACTACGTTAATGATGTATTTCTACTAAACTGTGTTTAGAAAACAATTAAAGCAATGGAAGGATTGCACAGGACGAATGTACAAAAGATGGCAAAAATATTTGTTGTTTGTTTTACCGAAGGTGGAAATCCATCAAGTTTTCTTTTAATGGGTGTTTAAAAAGTCTCTCTAATGAACAAAGTGTTGACTTTAATGTCAGTTTTAGTAAAACAGGAAGTGAATTGCACAGTCAAGGACTCACAGTCATAACGTTTTATAGATATTTATGAGAATCTCAGTTATGAGATTTTTTTTATTTAAACAGGCTCATTTTTAGTTTTAACACTTTTTTTAATTACCGGTACATGTTCATTGTCAACCGTCCAGTGGGATTGTATTTCTGTCTCCTCGTGTTTTCTGACCCATCTCTTCGTTTTTCTTTTGGACCAGGTTGCCATTTATACTCTATCAACACTCACCACGGCTCCGAGCTGAGAATAGTAGCAGCCATCAGGACCAAACTCCTCCTAATTACCAGAAAACATCCTCGTTTCAGCGCCGTCGCCACGGGAGCCGACTCCCCAGTGGAGGAGTTTCAGTACATTCGGGTACGACAGACTCAAAAATAAACTCATTAATACGTTTTGACTGAAAATCAAATGAATGAATGAAGACTGGAGTAAGTAAAAAGCCAACGATTTTGCTTTTCATGGTGAAGAATTTTGAACTAAGATCATCTTATTTTGAAAAATTTGGGTAAAATCTTAAACTATTTACTATTTTGCACAACATCTTGATGGACCTGCCAACACTCGGATGTTGTGATGAGGATCACTCTCAGCTACGACCACATTAAAACTCTAGTTCAGGGACAAGTGGGAGGAAATAGTCTCAGCATTCTTTTATTGAAAGGTATTTATGAAGGCAAATCTCGACTTTTGGTGTTAAAGCCACGTTTCCTCTGTCCGCCCCTAGAACGTTTTCACATAAACCTATTAAATATATTTAATAAATCGCTACAAATAAACTAAATATATATTGGCTTTATCATTTCTGTCTAGATTAAAGGAGATGAATACGATTTGTTAAGTGAGATGGGGGTGGTCTCCCCTGGGGGGGGGGGGGGGGTCAACAATTTTTCCAGGGGTGGCCATGCTCCCCCCTGGCCATGCTGGAAGTTTTTTTTATTCTGCTGAGCATCTCAATAGATTTAGGATTCCTTCTGTTGATTTTCAGTGTCAGTGAATAAGTAAGCTAATGATGAACTCTTTGGCTGTCTGATAATAATAGTGTTAACAAGCCCCCCCACCCCCCCACCCCACCCGTTTCCCAGGAGATCTGCCTGTGTGATCCGCCCGTGGTGATGGCGCTGGTGGACGGCCCGACGGGGGAAAATGACAACATGATCTGCGTGGCCTACAAACATCAGTTTGACCTGATCAACGAGAGCACCGGGGACGCGTATCGGCTACATCACGTAGATGCCAACAGGGTGAGGAAGAAGAGCGTGTGCTATGTTCCATCTGTGTTTCTGCATGATTAGTGGTGGGTGCAACTGAGACCTGCAGCTGGACCTGTTAGCTTCTTTATTTACCTGCTCAGGTAAATCAACACACTGTCAGTCACCAGCTGTGGGGGAGAGCAGTGCAGCTGGTCTAACAAAGCAGGAGATTGTGCTTTCAGAGAAATTTAAAAAAGAGTCATGGTCTACAACCAGACATCAGAACGTTGTAGTCTTTCTAAACTCTGGTGTTTGTAGTTGTTATTTTTTTTAAGTGACTGGTTTTTGATTGCAGGTAAACTTCGTAGCAGCCATCGATGTGTATGAAGATGGTGAAGCAGGTCTGCTGTTGTGTTACAACTGTGAGTCTCCTTTTGACTTACATTTTCATTCAGCCATTTTCTGCATCAGCATCATTCTCCTACCTTGACAGAGAAATGAATAAAATTAGACCAAGTTAATCCTCTCTGTTTGTTTTTTCCAGATATTTGTTACTATAAGAAAGTTTGTCCGTTTAACGGCTCCACGCCGATGATCCAGTCCAACACCTCTGATTTCCACTTCAGCTGGAACCAGATGCCCAATGCTATTGGTAGGTAACCATGGTAACGGTGCCTGGGCCCCACCCTGCCCATGCTGCTGGCCTGGCTAGAGCTAGCTGTCACCATGGAAACACCCTGTGTGACCACAAGCATCCAGCTGGCCTCTGATTACATCAGTGTGTGTTTGTGGACGATGTTATTAGGAAGAAAACACACCTGAAGCTGCATGTAACCAAATTTCTGTTTTCGTTTTGGTCCTTTTTCTCTTTAATCGAGCGTTTCAAGTCATAAATGTTCTGACAGAATCAAAGATGGTTGTGTTAAACGTCCAGAATCGGCTGTTTTGGGTCATGAATTTTCCTTTAAGATGTTGAAACGTTGTCATCGACTCTGGAGCAGAAATTTACGATTTCTGTAAATTTTCTCCAAGTGACGTCAAAGACAGTGGCTGCTGGATCTTTGGTCAAATTCATTGAACTGTTTATTGGATAAATTAGAGTTTATGAGAGAAATGGTTTCTCAAGTTGGAAAAAAATCACTTGTGGTTTTATTCCATCATCTTATCTCTGCAGTTTGTGCGTTCCCCTACATTCTGGCCTTCACGACAGACTCGATTGAGATCCGACTGGTGGTCAACGGAAACCTTGTCTACACAGCTGTGGTCCCAGAGCTACAACTGGCTGCTTCTAGGGTCAGTATGACTCAAATAAACAATGACTTTGTTTGATTTAAACATTTTCTGAACTACATTAATCTTGATGCACAGAAGTCATCATACAAAATCAAAAAAAAACTTTTACGCCATAAAACATGGGTCTTTAGTGTTTGATCCAACGTGGGGCAAGAAATGTTACTTAAATGATATACAGGATTGTTGTAAATGTCCAGTAAAATATCTCATATCCCATCTTTAAAAGAGCAATATGTAAAATTCTCTAATCTAACATTTCAATCGTGCTGAAAGAAAAGTTACACTGAATCAGTACTTATCCAAAACATTTCATTTAAATTTTACAAACACAAACATTTCAGAAAAATACATTTCAGTTATTTAAAATGTGGTAACGCTTCCTTTTACAGTCCCCTAATTACTAAGTACTTACATGGTAATTACATAGTAAGTTAAAGTGTAGTATTGTGTAATTTTACAATTATGTCTTGAATTAAAAAGAAAAATTTATAGTTTGAGAGAACAATAATATGATTAACACTGGCTTTTCTTGGGGGGGGCAGCAATTTCCTATGGATGGCCATGGCCACCCCTTGGGGGTGCCATTGCTGCCAATAACACATTTCGTATTGAAATTAATTATTGGATCATTCAGTTGTCGTTCTCACCAAACCACCGCACTTCTGCACTTCCCTTGGTCCTACATTCATTACGCACTCGTGTATTTAGAAACTGCGATGGACTTGCTCTCTGTCCAGGGTGTAACCTGCCTGATTGTCCATTGACTGCTGGAGATAGGCACCAGCCCCCACCCCCGCGACCCTACATGGACAAGTGGGTTCAGACAATGGATGGATGGATGGATGGAATTTAGAAACAGAACACCACTGGTGTGAGCGGTTCTCTGCTCGATAGTATCAAAGAAGGACTAACAGCCGGCAGCAACCACTTCAACTTTAGGACAAACTACCAGAGTCGCAAAAAAGAAAAACACCATTTGAAGTCACGGAAAACAAAGACGTTTGGAGGTAGAAAATGGTGACTGGTGTTTAACGCTCTCTTGTTTCCTCTGGCAATGCGGGTTTCTGGTTCTGGCAGAAGCATCTCAGGAGTGAGACCATGTGTTCCGTAACCATGTTTGCCTTCAAAACCTAGCTCATAGATTTGCTGTAACAACTTTAAAAAAACAAAGCCAGTAAACAGGAGCAACCCAGAAGCTTCTTTTTGTTTTACTCTAATATTGGGTGAAGAAGATTAGAGGCTAGCGTTGAGCTAACAATGCTAATGGTCAATTAGACGCAAATAGTCAGCTCTAAAATATCTCAAGCTACATTTTCAATTATCAAAGACTCAATATTACAGTGGAATGTTTATGTTAAGTGAATCATTAGTCAAAATATCTGCATTCTCTTTAATGCCAGAGGCATATTACCGTAATAAGTGTAGTAAGTGCCCCCAATGGTAAAACACCCAAGAGTGCTAACACCAGATTTAACTAAACTGTGTATGACTCTGTGGCACTGATTGTAACAGCCATGGACCTCACGGAACGGTAGTGAGAAAGTGAGTTTTTGTTTAGAAAAATGGATTGCAGTAATTTGACCACAGAAACATAAAGAATGTGTTCCAAGCAAACACACAAATGTTCATCAACATCATCAAAAGTGCTTTCCGTCAATGAGAGATTGAACCAAATCGCTGTACACACAACTGAGGTATAAAAAGTAAAACAACAGCAACCATGCAGTGACTAAGATAAAACAAGATGGATTAAAGCAATAAAGATATTAGTTAAAAGACAAGATAAGAATGACTAAAAGAAGACTAGTGGAACGCCATGGTGTAAAAATGGGTCTTCAACCTGCTCTTAAAAGCTGGCAGAGAGGGTGCTTGTTATGTGTCTAAATGTACGAAAAGAGCTAAGAGGGTGTACATCTGGTAACTTTTGCTATCTGTATAATAGCCGTACGAAACAGGAAGATGTGGAGCAACCCTTAAGCCCTTGGTCTCAGATCAACTCCTGCTAAAGCCTCAGAAGTGACAGTTGAGATGTTCTAAGCATTCCATCACCGATCCTTTAACACCCCCCCCCCCCCCCCCCCCCGCATCCCACACCCCCACAGCCCAGTCTGTTGTTTTGCTCTTTCTTCTTATTTCTCTGCTATGAATGTATTGATGTTGTATTTATATTCCAAGGGTGTCTTGAAAAACAAGTTGTTTACGAGGTACCCGTGGTTCCTCTGTAGCCAGAGTAATATAACACGTGAACGTTTGCAGCAGCCTGCTTTCAGACTCCACTCTGTTGTTGCTGTTTCAGCTCTCATTTCAATCAATTTTTATAACCTCAGAGGGAAATGTGGCTCTCAATCTGCATGGCTACAAAACCGTAACACACTCACATCATTTAAAACACCAGGTATCGAGGAAAGAACCTGTCTCTTTCCCATTTTATCCTCCTCTTTCTGTCATATCTAATATTTATTTTGTTCTATTCTCTCTCTCTCTCTCTCACTCTCACTCTCTCTCTCTCTCTCTCTCTCTCTCTCTCTCTCTCTCTCTCTCTCTCTCTCTCTCTCTCTCTCTCTCTCTCTCTCTCTCTCTCTCTCTCTCTCTCTCTGCGTCTGGTTTTCCACCCACAGTTGGACATTTATTTTGTCTCGACGGCGCCGGTGAGCTCAGCCTCCAACTGCAGTTCGAGAGACACCAGCTCTCAGAGTTCCCCTCAGACACCCACTGGCTATGAGATGCCTGTGTTTCCCTCACCGCTCGGTGACGGTAAGCCCAGCACAGCTGAAGCACCGGAGGGTGATGTTGTATTAAAGGGTTTTATTTTGACATGTGAAGATCGCCCGCAGATCTGTTTGACTTTGGGGGGGGGGGGGGGGGGGGGGGGGGGGGACCTTAACAGCCATTTACATCAAGCTGCCTGATCAGAAAGGACTTCTAAAGCTGCAGCCCGTCTCCTACAAGTTTAGCCATTCTTACCCACAGCTTAGTTTTCTGCAGCAGTATCGCTCTCATGACTGTTTTCTCATCTGATCCTGTAGAATAACTCAAAAGAGGCAATTGTAAGAAAACACAACAGTTTAAACTTTGCTTTAACCAGTCCATAAACCATCACGTCACACAAGACTTTAGTTTAACCACTTAGTGAGTTAAAATTCACTTTCTTCATTTGGAAGTATATTTCAACCATTTTTATGTGTGCTTATCTAGAAAGGTTATAGCAGATAGCTTCCTGAACGACATTTGTTTCACAAAATAGATTGATGAGCTAACGACTAGTCAGAATACAGCCGAGACCTATATCTGTTGATAATTTCTTGAAACAGTTTCAACCTCCTACATTTCATAGCAGAGCACACCAATGTCATTTTGTAAATCTGCCATCAGTTTTGCATTATATGGTCACATAAATACAAAAACATCAGATGCAGCCAAATGTAGCACATCTGGTGTGTCCAGGGCATGAGTCCAACAGGAATTTCTTATCAAATCTGAGGAATTATCAGTTTAATACAAATGAATGACAGTGTGAAGGTTTTATAAAACAACGCTGCATGAATCAGGCCTAGTCCACACGTAGCCGGGTTTTTTCAAAAACGAATATCCGCCCCTCCAAAAACTTGCATCCACACCACCTTGTTTTTTAAAAAAAACTCTCCACACATACCCGGATAAATACGTGGTTAAGGACATGCCAGACCTGTAGGCGGCAGTACTTCCCCCGTTCTTAACCTCGT